GTAGCCTGGCGAAGAAAAAACCTAACCTCAGCCTCAGAATGTGGCTGATGAGGCTCATGCTGTCTCATGCCAAACTGCCGGAGCACGCGGTCTGGATGCTGCCACGATACCGATGAAAAGCAGATAAGTGGCACTACTGCTCGAAATGTCTCAAACTGTAGCACACTACCTCTGAGATGAAGTGCTCTCTCAAAGTAAGGTTGCCACTACATTAAATCCAAAAATTAACGTTATTATCCCTAAATCTAAAAAAATAAAACAAATGAAAACTATTCTATAAAATGAAATGTTATATACTAACCACCACGGTGTCCATCGCGTCAAACCACAGCTTGTACTGGAATAGCTGGTCACCATACTGACGACTGTTGGCCGAAAGCCATCGAAGACCACGTGGGAATGCATCCTCGGTGGCCTGTGCCCTCGTCTCCTCGTCTCGAGGTGCCAGATGTGGGAATCGCTCCCACGCCCAAAACTGCAGTAGGGCGACCCATCCACCAAGGTCACCGCTAAGAGAAGTGCCGGTATGCGTAATGTGCAAAGTCGACCTACCCATCTCACGGTACAGGTAGGATAAAACAGCAGCTCCCCAGGCAAACCGTCCAGCTCTCTCCCAATCCTCAATCAGAAGTAGGTACTGTAGGTGCACCGTACTTCCAGACCGATCCGAGAAAAGTACACCTCCAAGCAGAGATAGAGCATAAGCTCGTGCAAACTGCTCTATAACCTCCTGTGATGCATTCTCCGGCAGATGACTGAATTCAACCCTCAGCCAAACAATCCTAACAACAGCGACACTGCCTACAAGATCGGCCGGAACTCGTCCCAACAGTCTTAAACAGATCGCCGACCACTCCTCATCCGGTATATCAACTACGACGGCATCACCGTCGATCGCCAGACCGGACAGTGTAACAACGTCCTCTAACGTGATCGTCATCTCACCACACGGTAGATGGAAGGTCGACGTCTCGGGGCGCCACCGCTCTACGAGCGCAGTAATCAAACTAGCATCGGGGTTCATAGGGACTAGGGGCACGACACTTAACAAGCCTGCCGCTTCGAGATATGGCCGATAAAGCTCATGGTAAGGTACTAAAATGGTCGTACCTCGAACATGGTACGATCGATCACCAGCCTATAGTGCACAAAACTTATATTAATTCATTTTCATTCGTAATAATTCTAATTTCACCTAATAAATTCTAATCTGTCTTATCTAACATAAAATTATACTAATTTCACCTAACAGTTCAGTTCACTACCTAAAATAATCTAATTAGCTAATTAACTTTACATGAATAATTATCAAATACTTACCTCGTTTGTCCAAACAGAGTCGATACGATGTTGGCCGTGTCCCCAAAGAAGTGTCGGATCGACCGGACTTGGATCAATTGTCGCCGGCGGTAATCTCATCGAATAAGGATCCATAAGCCTCGGAACTGCAAAAACAAAGCAACAAAACATTAAAAAAAACACAAAACATTAAAAAAAAAATCAAACTGCCGACGAGAGTCTCACCGCGCAAACGGCCGCCGACTCCACCACGACCTCGCCGACCTCTCCCTCTGCCTCTGCCGGCGGCGAGTGGTTCTTCGTCGGAGGACATCTCGAGCGGCGGCGGGTCAGTCAAAGACGGTGGCGCTACTGTCAAAGGCGGTGGCGCCGAGGTCTGGGACGGCGGCGCTCGTGTCTGCGGCGGCGGCGCCGAGGTCTGGGGCGGTAGCAGTTGCGGCGGGAGGCAGTGGGTCTCTCTGGTTCGCAGGGTTTGGGGGAGGAAGAAGAAAGGAGTTCGCGGGTTGGGGGGAGGAAGAAGAAAGGAGGAGGAGGATGTCTGTGGTGTGGGAGGGGATAAGGGGGGAATCGTCCGAATTTAAAAAAAAAAAGGGTCCGGGGCGCTCCCGCCTGAGTCTCGGGCGCCAGCGCATAGGACTAATTAAAAAATTTGTCTGAGGCGGGGCCGCTTGAGACTGGGGCGCCAGCGCCCAGGACTGGGTAAAATATCAGTCCCGCCTGAGTCTCAGGTGGTCCCGCCCCAATCCTTACTAAAAAACACAATATTTGTGTCAATAGTTTTTAATTTGTAATATTAGTGGTAAATTAAAAAAAAAACAATATTTGTGTCATTAATCCCAAATAGTACATCCCTCACAAAATTGCATGTAAAGCAAAACCTGTAATCCCTAAACCACCCTTCTAGGGTCAGGATTCAGATACTGTAGTAACGACCACGTTTAATCATGCAACTCGAGGACAAATTAGTATTATTGCCTCCCTCTCTAGGACCGACATTCTGACTCGTTTCTCCGACACCATTTGTCTTCTTTCTTCTCCGCCTCTTTTGAACACAGAGCACTCCCTCCGTCTCTCTGCTCTTCAGTGCTGGACGCCATTGAAGCACTTCGAAGAAAGTAACAGCAGAAGAAGAAGAAACAGACGACTCAAATAAGACACCTCGAACTACCTCACCGAAACCTCCAATAGCAAGCCCACATTTTGTCTCCTGAGTTGCTTCTACCCCTTCACCTCCTTTCTTCCTGTAACTGTCCCCTCATCCCCCAAAAACCCTCAACACAAAACCCTACCCACAAACGAAAAATGCAGCATCCCAAACCCATCTCCCTCTTCCTTCTCTTCTTCTTCGTCTTCATTACCACCACCCATTTCTCAGCTCAAACAGCAACCGCGAAATCCACAATCGAGCCCTGCTCCAACTCCGACTCCTGCAGCGCACTCCTCGGCTACACACTCTACACCGACCTCAAAGTCTCGGAGGTCGCATCCCTCTTCCAAATCGACCCAATCGCCCTCCTCACAGCAAATTCCATCGACATTTCCTACCCGGACGTCGAGAATCGCATCCTCCCTTCCCAGCTCTTCCTCAAGATCCCAATCTCTTGCTCCTGCGTCGACGGCATCCGCAAATCGGTCTCCACCCACTACAAGACTCGCCCTTCCGATACTCTCGCTGGCATCGCCGACTCAATTTACGCCGGGCTGGTGTCCGCCGACCAGATTAAGGAGGCCAATTCGATACAGGACCCTTCTGTGCTTGACGTCGGCGAGACCCTTGTGGTCCCTTTGCCCTGCACTTGTTTCAATGGGACTGATAACGCCTTGCCGGCTATCTATCTCTCGTATGTGGTGAAGGATGTGGATACTCTCACTGGGATTGCTGCTAGGTACACCACTACTATCAGTGATTTGATGAATGTTAATGCCATGGGCAGCACCGCCATCAAGGCTGGTGACATACTCGCCGTGCCGTTTCCTGGTACGTCTTGTTGTTGTTGTTTGTCTGGTAGCTGTTCAGCTTAGTGCATGTGGGGTGAGCTTGGTGTTGCTGGTTTTAGTAAGTTCTGGGTTTGGTTGATAATGCTGTTAATGTGTCGCTTTGAATGTTTGAGCAATGTTCTTCGCCGGTATGGAATCCTCTAAAACTGTAAATTTCAACTTTCTAAATTTGTCATGGCTGAGAAATATGGTTGTAAGTGATTCCTAGACTCTGCTTACTCTCTTTGTTCAATTTTACGAGGAAAATTCTTAAGAGAAACTCTTATGTTTTGCTTTAGGCCATTAGAGCAGGACTGTGTTAGTATTTCCGAAGAATGCATTTCCATCTCTTCCAAACACAAACAATCTATTGTCAACGGAATTTGTCCCATACAGATGGTAAATGATTGATTCTTTGGTTTGCAGCTTGTGCTTCTAGGTTTCCACGATACGCCTCTGATTCCGGTTTAATGGTGCCAAATGGGAGTTATGCTATCGTTGCAAGTCACTGTGTGCAATGCAGCTGCGGGCCTGCGAATCTCAAGTAAAATTTCTTGCGTTTCTGTTTTTAATCCGTGGATTCACTACTGAATTTTTTGGTGCACACTTTTATTCTACTAATGGTGTTGCGTGTAGCTTGTACTGTATGCCTGCTTCATTGGCGGTGTCTTGTTCGAGCATGCAATGCCGAGGCAGCAATCTTATGCTTGGAAACGTAACACAGCAGCAGAGCAGTGCTGGGTGCAATGTGACCTCTTGTAGTTATGGTGGATACGTTAATGACACTATTATCACCACGTATGCTCTCTATCAATTGAATTCAAATTCTGGCTTCCCTTTGTTTCTTTGAGCAATTTCACTTCAAGTTTCCTCATGTTAGCCGAGCGACTGAAGATGTTATGTTTCTTCATTGCCATGCAGGTTGTCCACATCCCTTCAACCACGATGCCCTGGTAAGAAGTTCGATCGATATTTATTGGTTGTTTCTTTACTGGTTATGAACCTACGAGTTGTAGTAGTTTTTTTGTCAATCTAGTGAGGCTTCTGGTTACGTTAGCCTTCTATTTGGTTGTTTGTTTACAAGTGTTTCAGTTACACTGAATATGTTGCTTCTCTCTGTTGTTAAACTCAAGTCTATTTATGAAACACGCAGGAGTATTGACATTACTGCTTTCCTCAAAATCATCTCAGGAGATGGTTTATAGATGAAAATGATATCCCATATTAGCATTCTTATAGCTCCATTGTGCTGCATGTTTTAATGTGATGCAGGGCAACAACAGTTTCCTGCACTTATAGCCCCTCCTACAACTGTAACCAGGGATGCAACATTTGCTTCAGCACCAGCACCATCCCCTCAGGGATATGCCGGCGGCAATATTGGGCCGACTACAGTTCCGACAACTGGCTCAATGCCAGGAGGATTTCCAGCGGCAAACGGTCCCGTGGGAAGTGCATCAGGATCAGATGCCTGCTCACTGGGGATCCTTCATTTGGGTAGAAGTTTATTTACAGCTTCATTTGCTTTGTTCATGGTCGTCAAGTTAATGTTGTAGCATGTTTGTGGTGTAAGCTAGCTTTGATGAGGGTTTTTGTTTTGCTCCGATTGGTTCGGTTTTGCTGGCACTCAACTGCAAAACCTTGACTATTTGTATGTAGCTAGTTTGATTCAATACTCTCCCACTCTTCTTGAACGACTGATTTTGGCGATGTTGAGTTACGGGTTGTAATTTATCTCTTTAGTACATGATGCTATTCTAATTCTTTTGTGGATGCTGGAGTATGATTGTTGATTTCTAGTTGATCTGTTGATGTAAGTTGGAGCTTTGAATCTTGACTTGTTCTTGCTTGGAGTTCTTTTCTGGGGGAAAAAAACTTGGAGAAGATGATGATAAAACCTGAACGACAAACTCGTATCCGGATTCTATTCTGGCAGTTTACAAAAACCACAAACGAAAACCACTAGGAATGGTAATCACAGAGCATTACAACACAGCAAGCACTTGAGAAATGAGAAGGAACACAATCAAATCAACGAGCTTTCTTCTTGCCGGGAATGGCGACCCGCTTACCCTTCAAGGTCCGGCAGTTGTTCTTAGTGCGCTGTCCCCTGCAGGGCAAACCCTGGATATGCCTCACGCCTCTGTAGCACTGAATCTCCTTCAACCTCCTTATGTTTAGTGCATTGAACCGCCTCTGAAACCAAACCAAACCAAACCAGAACCCACAAAATCACAACTCCATTTGCAGAGCAAAAAAAAAAAAGACTGTTAGGCGAGCGTGTTAATTGGGGTTTACCAAATCTCCTTCAATGGTGTACTTGGAGACTTCATCACGGAGGTTAGTGAGCTCCTCCTCGGACAAGTCCTTGGTTATCTTGTTCTCAATGCTCTGGCGCGACATTGAGCGGCCGACGCCATGGATGTACTGAAGCGAGTACTCAACTCTCTTCCCATTGGGGATTTCCACACCACCAACACGGACGCATCGGATGCTCAGCCCACCAACCTAATCCCATCCCAGATTCAGTTGACTCAAACCCTAGAAAATGGCTATCAACTCAAGCATGCAATTGCAACCCAAGAACGACAAGGAATTACATACATGGCTGCAGTTCAATCTAATTACTAAATTCGCCATGCGGTTCGAAGAACTCCAATTACCTTGGGAGAGTTTGAGAGCGGGAGGGAGACGAAGTTGGAGATAGAAGTAGCTTGGAGTCCGTTGCAGATAAGGGAGAGCGAAGGCGCCACAGGCATTGCCAGCGTCTGCACCATTTGTCACTCCAGAACTGAAGATTGTGGTCGTGGATATCTCGCCTCGCCACAGGCATTGCCAGCGTCTGCACCATCTTTAACTGAGAAGATTGTGGTCGTGGATATGATATGGGGTATCTCGCCTCGCCACCCAAACAGAATCGGCTGATGGATTTTATCGGCAGCGACAACGAGGCCCTGTTTATTTGGGCGTTCCCGGCTTTTTGGCAGGCCGAGATGGTGCTACTTCCTCATCCTGCACCGTACGGTGGTGTTTTTAAAATATTACGGGCCGCCGGGATTTCTAGGCCCAACAAACAAGACTACTTTTCACAAAGACACACGTTTATCTCGTATTAATAATAATGTTATTAAAATCTGGATTTCTATGCCCCGTCCCTAAAGCCTCCGTCCCTTATAAACCCGTCGAATCTCTATCCGGCTTCCACCAAAAAATGGACGAAGAAGCTTTTCGGGTAGGTTCTTGGTTTTTCTTTTGTGATTTTTTTTTTAAATTGAAACAATTTGATTTTGTGATTTTTTTAATCAAAACAATTTGATTTCATTACTTTTTTTTATAAATGGGTGCCGAGATATACGATCCTCGATTGTATATCCATTATGGGCCAAGAGATACGAAGTATTTAACCGATCAAGAAGCACATCGCTCCCGTGCAATTTGGGACAACAATCCGGTAAATTGATGATTTATTTCGCTTTATTTTACTATTTTACAAGGTTTTATTTTGCTTTCTTTTAACTAAAAAATTGACGTTTTTCCTATTTTTTGTAGGAATCACTTATTCCAGTCATTCATAAAGGGACCACAAACCTTCCCGCTTGGCATGATCGGTTGGTGCCGTATATAGAGAGGACCGGATTGGGTATGCTGAGGCATTTCATGCGGATTGAAATCGACAACGATCTGCTTACGACAATGTCGGAGCGATGGCGCCCCGAAACCCATACGTTCCACCTTCCGAAGGGGAAAATGACGATCACCCTCAAAGATGTCGCGATCCTCACCGGGCTGTCGATTTCTGGAGAGACCATCATTGGTACCACTACCAAACCCGAAGGAGGTTGGGGGTCGCTCATTCTTGCTGAATTGGGATTTGACATGCCGACCACCACACCAATTCAAGGACGGGGGCATCCACCATTGAATGCAGGACAAGTGTCGGTCCCGTGGCTCGTAACTCACATCCAAAATGAGGTGGAAATCAATGACAAGACTCCAGAAGATCAAGTGGAGCGCTATGCACGCATCTACCTCATTGGTTTGGTGGCTGGATTTCTGTTCCCCGACAAGTCAAACAGGTGGATTCAAGGCATATGGTTGCCATTGCTCACTGGTGATGGGACGCAATCGGGGAATAGAGTTGGGGATCGGCCGTGTTAACTGGCATATATAAGGAGCTATGTACTTGCTCGAAGGTGGGAGCGAGACAAGCTGGTGCGGCGATGTTCATCCTCCAGCTCTGGGTATGGGAGCATCTTCCAATGTTCGCACCTCAAGACCCACATCCATACTGGAGAGCAGATGATGAGCTACGGTTTGTGCAAAATCTCCCCTATGGTGCCAAGTAAGTATATTCCTACTTAGCTATATTTAAATTTATTCAATGCTTAGGTATATTTAAATTACATTTATTCCATACTTAGCCTAATTGCAAATTTATTCCATGCTTAGCTAGATTTAAATTACTACCTATTACGTACTTAGCCTAATTGCTAATTTATCCCATGCATCTTAGCTAGATTTAAATTATATTTATTTATCCCAAATTTAAATTTATTCAATGCTTTTACTTACAAGGTGGATAGGAGCAAATACAAACGATCATCAACCTGAGCACTCTTTACTATTTTATCATTCTGAGTTAGATAAGCCTTGGTGGAACCATGTAATCATGCTTTATCATATTTTAACAATTAAAATTTTTTCCAATGTTAATAGTCGCTAATTGCAAATTATGAATGAGTATAGGTTACATGGGACCCATATCCACGTGAAGTAGTCGAGCTGCATCATCTGAGACACCCCCCAGGATCACGAGACGTGGTTGTGCAAGGTGCCATTGATCTGCTGGTACATCATGGAGTGGCACCTACCCGATCAATCCTTGAGGAAATATCGATTGGAGCAACCAATTCCACAAAACCCCGCCTCAAGGTTTCAAGGAGCTCCATGCCATCGACCTCCGACACGCGGCAAAGAATTGGCTTCTAAAGCATAAGTTCTACATCAACATTTGGGAGAATAGAGGGAATTGGGTGGTCCAAGGGATGTCGGAGACGAGACCTATGGGTTACCAAGATGGGTACATGCAGTGGTATCGGAAGTTTACGCTTAGATGGGTGTCAAAGCAAGGTGTTGTGGTGGGTTCGTTGGTAAGTCATCCTAATCTCCCTCGTAGTCTAATTATTTTGTTTTAAGGTTTAATTAATTTTGATTTATTACGTGGATTGCTTAGGTTGATGGTTTGGAACACGCCAAGCACACCCTCGATAGTGCTCCAACCATGGATGAGCGCAAGACTTCTTGGTTGCGAAAGCTTATGAACAACCTCTTAAGTTGTACCCGAGAGCAAAGGAGGGATGTCGTGTCCTATCCTCCCGTTCCTGCCCTGGAACGCCCATCATTCCGTGATGGTGAGCGCATTGTGCCCCCGGTTGTGCCCCTACGAAGGAACAAACGCAAGCCTCTGCCTACGTTTGAAGAGGTGCATACAACTCAAGCAACCGAGCTCTCTGAACCATTTGAGTACGAGTGGGCACCTACAACTGATGTCGCTGGAGGGTCATCAAGCTCTGGTCCATCTCTACCCTCAAGGGTTCCCTCAATTCCACCATCAGCAACAGAGTCCGATGTATCACACCCCGCAGCAACAAACCCCTCACCCCCCGATATACCATCAAGCTACCGGTCCATCTCAGCCACTGCACCTCCACCGCCTATAGTAACTCAAGTTGGGGCTCGGGTTAAGAGACATCCGCGACCAGTTGTTGAGCGAGTCCGCCAAGAAGCAGGAGGGAGAGATGGGGGAAGAAGGGGTCGAGGACGATGTGGAGGACGAGGAGGAGGAAGAGGGAGAGATGGGGGCCAAAATGAGGGGGAACCAAATGAAGCCAACCAGTGAAATTCTCAAGTTTTCTTTGTTTATTCTAGTGTTATGTCATTGTAGTGAACTATCCGCGTTTATTTGTTTTTTTCGGTCTTGTGATTTGAGTTTGCATTGTCTTTGAACTATCCATGTTGTGTTTCTCCAGTCATGTCTTGTGTTTTGGCTTCTAGTAATCAATGATATATGTTAGTCAACTTTCTAATTGGACCCCATTTAAATTTATTCCAAATTCATGCCAATCATTAAACAAGCTTACAATTTAAACATCATTACAACTAAATGATAATTAAGATAGATAAATTTTTCAAGGTTTGGTCCTGATTAATAGCCGCACCATGCCCGATAGGTTGTCCTGGGCAACGCCTCTTGTCATGGCCAGGTTTTCTGCACTAGGAGCATCGCTTCCCCCCCCCCCCCCCCCCCTGTGCGTTACACTTGATCCATCACATTGTGAATCCTTTCAATCCTAGGATGACCCTTGGTACGTTTTAGGTGAAACGGTGGGATAGTCAACTTCCCAGTGTATATAGGCCAATACGCTTCATCTGCCATGGGGCTCAAAGCTGCATCATATGAGTTCTGTATAGCTTGTTCAGTGTAGTAAGGACACACCAGAGTGTTTCTGTTCATGGTTATTGACTTAGCTACTGTCATTGCATGTGAACATGGTATCCTTTCACTTTGATACTTTTGAAATGTACACTCCCCTGATTCGAAGCGTAGAGTAACCGTTTGATGATTGTGGGCACGTCTACCTCCACCCCATAGACCTTTTGCACTGCAAATATTCCTTCACTACAGTCGAAAAGAAAAACTTTATGCTTACTTGATTGTTCTTCGTTCTTCTGCATTTGCTCAAAGACCTCATGTGCTATCGCATGACCAGATAGCTCCCTCCCTATAGCTAGCTGAAGCCGAGCCACCCGCCACTCGTTGACCTTCCAGTATGACAGAAACAGGCATCGCTCGAAGGCCCTCGTACACATTATTTATACTTTCTCCATGGTTGGTAGTTGCAATGCCCCATCTGGCCCCGTTGTCCATATGGAACGTCCACATGGGCAACTCTTGACCTTCAGCCCATACTGCTCAGCTCGGTGGGTCTGACGGATCGTCTTCATCTTCTGCTCGTACTTTTTTGGTTGATGTGCAACCGCTGCAAGGTGAACAAATTTAAACTGGTCAATACATGATAAATAACAAATTATTAAATACATAGTTAACTTGCATTAAAGGACATTAGTACCTGCATGCCACAATTGATTTTTGATGTCTTTCTTCTTCCAGAATTTGTGCTGGAAATTGGCGAGCCAGTGTCGAATACACCAGCACCATGTCCATCCCCACTCGTCAGGAAAACCACCCATGGCATTCCTAATCCCCGCGTGTCGATCGGATATAATCGTAATACCCTCTCACTATGTCACGTGTTTGTCTAGTTGGTCAAAGAACCATGCAAAACTTAAGTTGTTCTCCCCTTCCACTAATGCAAATGCAAGCGGGAAAATCCGCCTATTTCCATCAACGCCAGTGGCAATGAGAAGAGTTCCTCTGTACTTGCTAGTAAGGAAAGTTCCATCAACCTAATTAAAAATTAGGATCTAATTAGTATGAAATTTACTTAGCAGGAAAGAATACAACATTTCAAACAGTAAACAGTTATTAAAATACCTGAATAACTGGTATGCCGAACACAAACCCGTCAATGCATGGTTTTAAAGCCCAAAAAGACGGTGAAACATCAACTTCTCCTGTACTCGAACTTGATCCTTAGTGTATACATTGTTGTATACTGGCATGAAAACAGTCCCAGCGTTGGACTCCTCCATTGCAGCCATAAGTCTAGGGAGTAAAGCATACGAATCCTCCCAATCACCATACACCTCAGCCATGGCTTTCTGCTTTCCATGCCATGCTTTTTTGTACCTTATCGTGTAAGAGTGTCGATCCTTCACCTCGGCCATGATAGCTTTGACCTTGATATCTGGTTGTGCTTTGATAAGGTGCTTAATAGTTCTCCCAACTTTCTGTGCTTTAAGTTGCCTATGATCC